AGCAGGTTTATAAGGTGTTTTTCATATTCCCGTTTTTTTTTCTTGCCCCCTCTTCCAGCTTTTGTCACGTTACTCTCTAATCTTGTAGCAACACAACGTCAAATTAGGTTAGGAACATGGTATGTTATACTCACGTGGTAGAAGCCCATGACTTCGGTCTTCATGTCACTGATGAGCGTGCTAACTCGATGGACCACTTGTCTGACGTTTTCTACGACCGGGGGAAGGTTTGTGTACTCCCCAGATCTGGTGATGAACACTTTGGCCTTGACTTTGAAGTCAAGCACTGGACGGGGAAGGTCCTCCACTGCATTCACGATGTTCTGGAAGATGCCGTCTATGGAGCCTGTCGTTCTGTTGGAAGATCACCGAAATGTATCCACTAATCGCGTTACAATGAATGATTGAGTCCACTGCCCTTTATGCTCTTCAAGCAGAGGTTTGGATTTTGACTTATTTTTTGGCGTGTTCTAGGCTTTCTTAACGTTGGGTTGGCGTAAAAACAGTGCACTGTACACGACTTTTCTCATTTAACTCAAGTGAAAATAAGTATTGTCCTTTCCTGTATTTGTACTCTGTGTTGGTGGTGGTATAAAATAAGTTGATATAACTTGAGTGTGCCGTCGCAACGTTTGGTCATGAAATGTTGGAATTAGAAAAAAGTGCAAAAAAGAAAGCCGGATAAAAAGCCTAAAACACGCCAATAGAGTCAAAACCTAAACCTCTGTTTGGATAACAGCCATTGACAGATTAATATAGTTATGGTTTTTGATATTACTTTTTACCGATACACCTGTACCGATACGACAATTGTACCGTCACATGCCAGAACACTATAAGCTTACCTCCCGAGAAGTTGCTTGAAACGAATGATGTTATTCTTCACATTTACAACGACCTGGTTGATTACGCGGTCAAACTGTTTAACCAATCGGAAAACCTCTTCAAAGTTGAACTCCTGCCAAGAGAAATGAGAATCAAGATCTTAACATTTATATGATACACTGCACCACATCTATTTGCATCTTACTTATTTAAAAAAAAGCATAACTATTCATTTCAAGGTAAAGTTGTGCAAACGAATAGCTGTCATACCTGGAAAATGTTGAATTGGTATTCCGCCTTTCCTTTGAAACAGACTCTCGCATCCAGGAATTTAAGGTTGATACCAATCAACCCCCACGTGCACCTTCGCATACGCCATGTCCAGCGCGTCTACCTCGAACCTTCCCTCCAACGGTTCTGTTTAGGATAAACCAC